GGCGGAGGAGGTGGCTGGGGAGCCGGCGGAGGAGGAGGTGGTGGCTCTCCTAACCCATATCCAATCGTAAATAAGTGTGAAACTGGTTGCAATATTCTGCCGTGGTCCCACGAGACTGATTGTGACAAGTTCTGGATATGCGACGGCACTAAAGCTATCTTAGGAGTTTGCTCCGAAGGTCTCCAGTTTAACCCACAAAGATACACGTGCGACTCAAGCCGCAATGTGTCTTGTGTCGGACGCGGCATACAGTCAACAAACGACGCCGATAGCATTAAAATACTCCAGCCTTTCATTTTAAAAGCTAAGTCTAGTGTTTAAAAAATACCCTTTCTAGCCGCCAGCTTGTTAGTGTTTAAGAATATAATTGTTATATACCTATGAATAAAAAAATAATATGCAATTAATATATTTCTTTCGACGACGATAGTCGTTGGTGTATATGTACAGTATTAGATAAGTAGTAGTTTGTATTTTATTGTAAATATAATAAATTCTACCTCGATTTTTTTTTATAATAAGTTCTAAATTTATTTTTAATGTTTTTCTTCCTATTTTCAACAGTGAGTTACAACTATCGTGAAGTCTCTAGTCAGATTACACTTGTATGTGATTAGAGACTTCACTTCTATTGACACATATTCTTGTCTCTGCTATTTCAAAGAGAATGTTAGAGACGACATCTGTCAACTGTCACTACAAATGTCATCGCGTTTTAAACCGGTTATAACCGCTTCGGTAACTTTATTTAAAATTGTTTCGGTTAAGTAAGATTTATCCACAATCTACCGAACACGATTCTTAATAAATAAAAATAAAAAACAAGTTAAATTGATAAAAATTACATATTTATTATATTCTGTGAATCACAAAACAAATAAATAAAAATAAAATAATAAACAATCATTAATTACCTATTTATTTACGTACAATTATTTAAAAAAAAACATTTATATATGTTAAAAATAGAAATTTAAACTTTAAACATAATAAATATAATCAGTACATAAAGATAAAGAAATGTCTTATAAAACTTTTTAAAAATGCTAAAATAAAGACTCGATATGATTTAATTGTACAATATTAAACTTTGTGACGCAATCAATAGCTTTTGTTACAATCCAATAAAATCAATGTAATCAGTGTTGCTATAAAATTACAATTTACTACCAAAAGTCGTTCAAATTTACAAAAAAATCTACTTATATCTACCATAAACCTTCTAAACAATTAATTTAATTCTTATAATTTGGTCATTTTGTTCCATGGACGTATGTATAATTCCTCCGATATTTTTACTTAGCTAATGTTTTATAATGAAAAACATAAAAAAATATTATTCTTGACTATCTACAATATCATTTGCCTCGATAACCTGTAAAAAATAAAAGAAAAAAAACAAATTAAAATACAATATTTTTTTTTAATACGATACGTGTTATCTACAAAGACAAACAACAAAAATATATTTGAACATTAAAATCAAACTATATTATATTTCCCTTCTTTCTTTCAAATCAACCAATTTTATCAAACATGTTCCTATTCCAGGCGCATTTTAGACGTGACAATTTTTAATATGAAGTCATTAAACTTAACAGTTAATAGATGAATGTTTAGACCAGTCTTTCCCAAAGTGGGCGATAACGCCCCCTTGTGGGCGCTGCAGGTCTCAAGGGGGGCGGTAAGAGACCCAGAAAGAAAATGGGGGCGTTGTGTAGAGGCCAGGGGGGTGATTTGTAATTTTCTTTAGCTAGGAGGCCTATTATGGAGGATATTAGTTGATGTTCACAACAACTTGTGAACATCAAATAATATGAATTAAAAGCTCTAATATGGGGGCGCTAAAAATATTTATTCCCAAAGTTGGCAGTAGACAAAATAAGTTTGGGAAGTTTGGGTTTAGACTAAAAAAGATCTTGAGATGAACAAAACATAATACGTACTCGTTTAACCTTCTTCCCGTACATGGACCAGAAAGTGACTTTGATATCTGTAGGCTTGCCTGTTCTCGCGTCAAACATTCGGCAACTGTCGAAAGGCGGACAGTAAAGGTGAAGAGATACTGCACCATCCACATATGAAGGATTTTCCATACGATGTAGACCTAAAGCATCTGCAATTAAAAAGGAAGATGAATTTATTTTAATTTTTATACGAAAAAAGCGTTGGCGATCTTTTCTTTTCATATTACACGTTGTATAGCTTTAAGATAACTATATTAAGTTAGATTATCTATGGTCGTGACTAGTTAAAATTACCATTAATATAACAAACGTCGTTAACTTCTAATGCTGTTCTTCCTATTTCCTCCATTTTGTTAGCGTCATAATCTTGGTCGCCATCTTGTTCGCTATGTTCCATGCTGTCACTTTTTCCGCGGAAATTGGGACACGTGTCATTCTGACAGTTGTAAATTAAATCGCTTGTTCGGTCATCCGTTGCAATCTCGTTGGCAGAACAACATGAATTCTTTGTCTTTAGCTTTTTTAAAACCTCTGGCTCGACGTTGTTAGGCCACTCATATCTATAAAAATAAAAAGTTGTAAAGTAAATACTTAAAATTTAACATTATTAAAGATTTCATTGAAAATAATTAATGAAAATTCAATTACTTTCAAACTAAAGATAATTTTATAAACTAGCAGCGTTTAAATTTAGCAAACAACGTCATTTGGTTAAAAATACAGAAAAATAGTATTCAAATTTTAACGACAGCGCCATCTAGTTCAAATTAACACAAAATAGCATTTAAATTAAACTTAAATTTTTAAATCAACGCCATCTAGTTTGTAACAAAATAAACAAAACTTTTTAAGTAATTGTCTCATACACACCTTACTTCCTCCAAGCTGCCGCTCAGAATTTTCATAAAGCAATGTGAATCTGCATGGTCGTGAATAGCAGATGCATGACCGGGCCCCCAACAGAGAACCATTATGTTAAAAGCACCATTCCCAGCGTCGACCAAATTCCTAGTATATCTGAAAAAAAACAATAAAGTAGTTAGTATAAATTTCCCGCACTTTACTAAGGGGCTCTCTTAATGACCATTTAACTTAGTGCAGCAGCTGGGATTCCTTAAATGTAAATCAGAATTTATTATTCCTACCATTTTCATCTAAATTTTTTCACTAAAACAGAATTACTACTCAACGAATTTATTAGCAAATCTTCCGTCCGTTTATTTGCACTACGTTTAACATTTTTCCGATCAAATAAATTAACAATAGTTTACTAAAATAAAATATATCACGTTTGGTTTCTTAAAATAATCATGAAAATTAATAACGACAATATTAAGAACATTGCTTTACTTATCTTTTTTTAGACATTATTAGTTAGAATCCGAATGACGCGAATGACTTGCTTTCATTACAAAGTGATGTGTCAGAATGATTAGTGAGGGGACGTAAACGTTGACATTTCGTTGTGACGTTGTCTAACAGTGGTAGAGCCCGCTTTAACATCTTCGCACGAATTGTCCCGGCTCGCCCGGTGAAATACCACGACCACACAGAAGACACGCGTCAAATGGAAGCAATTCCGCGTTTCGTCTGATGAGTGTGCGTCCCGGAGGCCAAAATTAGTCCTCTTTCCCTTCCCACCCTTTTTCTTATAAAGGATGGGAAGTAGGAAGAAAGGACAAATATTTTCTTTCTGTGCATCCTCTCCTCCGTCGATTAAAGGTGGGCAACGTATATGCAATTGCGTATATCTATGGGCAACGGTCACGTCGCTATTTCAGCGATTTCAGGTGGGGTCGCTCGGTGGATTGCCACCTTATGATATAAAAAAAATTCTCACCGGAATCTGTCGAACTTTGCGTATTTCTTCCAGTCCTTGGGTTCAGATTTATAAGCGGCCATCAGTTTCTGCACGTCTTGAACGTTAACATGGTCCCTCGAGAACACGTTATGCAGTTCTTGCACCAACATCTCCAAACCGTTTATCTCTCTGTATGTAAAAACAGATTTTATACTAAAAGCCAAACTTGTAGGGGAATTTAAAGGATTTAATTTTCTTCTTGACTACATTTATTTCGCATATTAACGTAGTAACGTAGATCTTACTATATAAAAGCGAATGTTTAGATGTGTGTTGACCCAACGGATCTTGATGAAATTTGGCACACATATAGAACATAGTCTGGAAGAACACATAGGCTAATTAAGTTTTTTTTTAATACCGCGCGGACTCGCGCGACGGCTAGTATTATTATATATATCAGAGGATATTTTTTTTAATTAAAAACAAAAGAAAATCACCTAACTGTAACTAATAATCCGACCTATTTTGACGCGTGAGCTTTTTAAGGTTCCGTTACCTTGAAAGTAAAAAACCGAATCTTTATAGGATAACTTTGTTGTCCGTCCTGTCTCTCTGTCTGTCAAGATCCTTTTTGTAATATTCGATTTGTACTCTTCTTCGAAATATCATAGGCAGTATTACGCCAATGGTCCTAGCATGAATATTTGTGATAAGCTCCATCGTATAGTCATCGACAGATTTTTTATTGAAATATGTGCAGCGCCCCTTTCGGACATAAAGTACACCAGAAATGTATTCCTAATTTTCTTCTTCTCGCAAACATTCGTACTAGGACCACAGAACAGTCAGTCTGATTTTTATTTTTTCAATTAGAAATTAGTGTTTTTTAAATTAAGAACATTATATTCAGCCAGATAGTTAAGAACTTACATATCAATTTTCAAGGGTCGTTCAACGGCCAGCATGTCGAGGTCGTCGCACTGAGATACACGGACCTTGCAATTGGCGCTTTCCACCTCCATCTTAACTGAAATATAAACAACATTCATTATTATTATGACTGTTTTATACTAAAAACGATCAACGGAGCTCCTCGCTAAATATCAATTCGACCGATCCGAATTTAAGGGTACTAAATTGTTTATTTTCATGATAAAACGCTAATGACAAGCGAATATTGTCCAACTGGTAGATAATTAGTTTTAAACGTGCTTAAATCAACTCTGATCCGATTCATAAATTCAGGTCACATACTTAAACCATTGAGCTATAGCTCAACAACTATATTGGTATTAAATCGCGATGTAATTTTGTTAACCGAAGATTCGTTGCTGGTGATTCGAAGTTCATAGCTTGAAATACACTATACAGGTGAGATAAAAAAATTGAAGTTAACTGAGTGTCGATTCACAGATCTTTAAAGAAGTAAACCGTGAGGTGTACGTCTGGATATCATTTACAAATTACTCATAACTAATCAGTTTTGCGAATGTGAATATATGTTTTCGAAACTGTGTGTGTGTTTTCCAAAATCATGCCAACTACACTACGCTAATATGCATCTATAAGTCGGTATCGACGTCTTTAATTATTACGTACGTACGTATTACTGTATATATACTAGTAATCCTATAACGCTATAGTGTGTTAGGTAAATAGGTAGACAAAATTTTTGCCTAAAACGAATTCTAGTAATTGTTTTTGCAACAGCGAAACCTCACAATGCGTAGTAATTGAATATTTTTTTTTTTATTATTTACCTTAACAGATAAAATCACATAAATTTAGATTAGATTATATTTAAACTCAACAATAGATAATTCTGTGGCGTAGTGTATTCTTTGTCTATAAAAACAATAACAATTCATTGATTATGACGAACTAAACGTATTAAGGCAATGGCCACTAACAGCTGAGCATTTTTAATTTCCGTCTTAAATATTTTACCAGCCAGTTACAACTAAAATAATTAAAAAAAAACCTTTCCAAATTTAAAAGAAAACAGAAAACAAAATTCAGTTACTCTACTAATATTTTTTTTTATAACAGAAGGGGGCAAACGAGCAGCGGGAACACCGAGGTGTTCAACGACGCCCATGGACATCAGCAATACCAGAGGAACCGCAGATGCGTTGCCGGCCTTTTAGGTGGTAATAAGCTCGCTTCTTGAAGGACCTAAGTCGTAGCAGTTTGGAAATACCGCCGAGGACAGACCATTCCACAACGCTGCTGTGCGAGGCAGGAAGTTTGGTGAACAATGCGAATGTTTAGATACATGGATGTTTGTTAGAAGGTATCTCCAGGTATCGCTGCATGGATTTTGCTAAACTTTGGCATAGAAGTAGAACATAGTCTGGAAGAATACACAGGCTCCTAAGTTTTTATTTAATTCCGCACGGACAGAGTCGCGGTTGACACTTAGCGTGAAATAAATTTAAAATAATATAAATATGTAGTCATAAAAAAGCCTGTAAAGACATGGACACAATTTTGCAAACAAAACACTACCCATCTCATTCTATAAATGAGCTAGGCCAACGAGGGCTGGAGTAAGCAAATTGCTAACTTGAATACTTCTAATAATTCTTCTGTGAGTGTGTATGTCACTGAACTTCTCTCAAACGACTGGACCGATTGTGATGAAATTTTTTGTGTGTGTTCAAGGGGATCTGGGTATGGTTTAGATTCACAATTTTAATCAAATGTTAACTTCATATTAATTTATTCAAATTAAAGACGTGTAGACAGGACAACGTCTATCGGGTCCGCTAGTACAATCTAAAATTTCAATAGCGTCAATTTTGCAAATCACATAACGGTCAATGAGTTTCAGTATTAGATAAACGACTGCGCTTCCGCTATTATTCAATAAGATTCGTTGCCATCCTCTCACTGATCCTTTTTAATAAAATCACATAAGGGTAGCCAGATGCAAGAAATTGGTTCATACGGTTGACCTTGAATTATTAAACAGAAAGGGATGAATGCAAGAATCTTGTGCGTTATACGAATTAGGAAATAAAATGCAAGGGAGATTTAAATAAAATTATTACTAAACCATGAAAGTCGATTTCTGGCTCTACATTACAAAAATCGATTCAAAAATGCAAACGGGAGATGTTCCATTATCCTACGCTACGTAAGGTAGGCGAAATAGTTTTTAGTCTTCCAATCAATCTATCTTTCGTCATTTCAATTGTCTGGAAAATCCAATAATTAAGAAATACTAATATAACTAGTGTCACAAAGATCGCATAAAGAGATAAATTGTTGCCAGGCATTCGAAATATTATTGGGTCACCAGATTAGACGTAAGCACGTGTTGACTATAGAGAAACGGACTAGACAAAAGCAGCCGTTGTAATAAATAAATTCCGCCACATTTCGCGGGAAGTGAAGTAATGATAATCACACGCACATATCATGCTGACACTTTATCTTTATGAAAGACGTTGATTTAAAAAATTACACACACTAAGCGAGTACACAAGCAAGCAAGTTTTTAGATTTTACAAATGGTCGCTCATTGTTCGAAATTCAATTATAATTCGTAATCAAAGATTAATTTTTTATCAATAATAGCATCCTTCTTCGTTCACGTGACGCCTTGTCGCAATATTGGGGAACATATTTATATTACGTCACCTTTTTTTTATTTTTCGACCCCTCCCTCCTCTCGGTATCCACTCGTAGTATATGCCAAGACACCCTCTCCCCCCCCCTTTAGTTTTTACGTAGTAATTCATAATTATGATTTTTAATCATTTCACAGGCCAAAATTGAAAAAAAAATAATTTGGCTCATACTCTTCTTTGTTGCATAAGAGTGCATGCATACTTAAATTACTAGTGAATGTACATCATTATATTATGAAAAAAAACAACTAACGACTACGTGACTAAAATCTGAGCCACCCCACGCTCCTGTGACTGACCGTAGTATTTTAAGGACTCCGCCCCTTCCCCCCTAAAAGGGTTACGTAGCAAGGGTACGTTCCCTTGGCTTAAAAGGAATACAAAGTTTCCTTCCACGTAAATTAACTAATATTTGAAAGAAGGGAAAGCTTGCACTTCCCGAATCCTGCCTCTTAATAGTCAAAGACTCGCATTATCTCTGTACCAAATAATTTGAAAACATTAACGTCACGAATCTTATTTATAAAACAAGTTGCATTAAACAAAACATACGCGTGACGTGTTACGTACACTTCTGTTCACAGATTACTTATCATTGTTTTTTAACCTCTGCCCTTTCGATGAAAGCTTCTCTGTCGTTAAACAGTCTGTAGCACAAACAGCCTCTTACAAGCGTGTCTGTTGTTTGGAACATAATGAATACTCTTATCATATGGTCTTATTTGTTTTCTAAATTTTAAAACAACTGCGTTTTAAGGTATAAAAACTATTTCAAAGACAAAATTATCATGTTGTGTTCTTTTTTTAAATCACTGTCAGAAATACACAATATTCTGATTGAGTAACGCTGTTAATCAAACTAATTTGACTAATATAAATACGAAAATTTAAATGTATGTATGTTAGAAGGTATCTCCTAAGGCTCAACGGATCTTGATGAAATTTGGTAAACATGTAGAACATAGTCTAGAAGAACATATAGGTTAGTTATGAACTGTTTTTATTGCGCGCGGACGGCGTCACGGGCGATAACTAGTACTATCTAAATTAATTAATACGTTATAAAACTCCGTGTTTCGTGTCCGAATACATTGGTAATAAAGAGTAAGTAACAAATGAAGTTTTATTACAAAGTAAAAAAAATATTTGGTTCTTGTTTAAAATAAGAGCTTAAACTCCAAAAAGGTTATAAGTTAAGTGCTATACAGACTGCAAGAAAACCGCTATTTAATGCAAGTTGCGACAATAAAGGTGACAAGGCGTTTACTCGGATTTCATGTTTTGAAATGTCATTCAAAATACAGAGTTAAGTTTAATAAATACCATTCTGTGATTGTAAACAATACGCTAGTTGTATTATACTTATTTTTATTATACTAAAATGACTCACGCATCCAATTTGGTAACGATTTTCCAGACTGTTCAACAAAAACAATTTAAAACTTTGAAGTTTTTAATATTTTAATAATAATTCAGTTAATGATGATTAGTAATTTTTAAAGGTTTATAGATAAATTGCAATCTTTTAGGTTAAGAAACATTTAAATGATTGTCGACAGAGACTCCGTCCGCGCAGTTTAAAAGAAACTTAACAAGTAGCCTATCTGTTCTTCAACACTGGTCTACATATGTGAAAAATTTTATCAAAATCCATTGAGCAGTTCCGGAGATACCTTCAAACATCCACTTTCGTTTTTTTATATTAGCGAGGAGGATGCATGAAATAGTTGCAATAGTAAAAAACGATTCCTGTAAATCCTTGTCACCCTACAAACCAGTCACTCGATCAGTATTTTAAACGCAACGGTCTGAATCTGTACAGTTATAGGCTTTTTACTTATTAAGGCTTTTTATCGTTCTAGGAAAAGATTTATTACATTTTTTATAGAAATAAATATACAAAGACCTTATTAATAAGTCTTATTCATTTTGCATCCAAGATATACTAACTTACTTAACATAATCGATAAAAAAATTCCTATTTCTTTTTTAATTGGTTGTCAGTAGAATATCCATTTATGTAATTTATTTAATTGTAATACGATTATTTACAATTGTTAGTTAATTTAAAACTTTTGTAATTGTTAACAAATAGTTAGTTTTACTACTACTATTACTAGGAAAGTTAAATGGCTGGATGGGTGGATGGATGGATGTTTATTTGAACGCATCTCCAGAACTGCTGAATGGATCATGATAAAATTTGGCATACATATAAAACATATGTTTTTAATCCGCGCGAGCGGAGTCGCAGGCAACAGCTAGTTTTGTATAAGTACAGAAAGTGGTTTAATTTCATCAATTGATTTTGTTTTGCATTTTTTAATCCACTTTAACGTTTTCATTTGGAACGAGAAGAAAGAAACTAAACAAATTTGTACGCTAAATTTGTTTAGTTTCTTATACTTTCCCATATTTTCCCATTTCCTATCTGTTTGTTGTATAATTAATAATTAAGTAAGTACTCATCTCCCTGTCCTTATCTCACTTATGTGGGTTTCTGTCCTGATCGATTTACGTCATTTCAGTCGTCCATCCCTTTTTAACTACCGTAACCTTTCACGCATTCCATCTTTCTCTTCCTTGGCTAACCCCTACCGATGTATCCAGGAACATTCAATACGGTTTAAAACCTGTGTCTATTAGTTTATATTTCTTTATTTATTATTTCAATTATCTTTGCTTATTCTATTGTGTATTAGATAACTGTTTACATATTTATTGTAAATGAAATTGTTTATATAATCAGTTAAAGTTTTTGCATTTCTTAGTTCATTGTCCGTAGCTAGTTTTTATAAATATGAATGTTTACATGGTCATACTAAGCATTCTTAACCTCTTTTGACCAGAGAAAACCTCCTTTAAAAATGTTTTTTTTTTTATTTAGATAAATAATACTAAAGAGGTCGGATTTGGTGGACTGAAACTGGCGCGTTATCCTATATGAATTAAGACACAATGATGATTTTTTTCACTCTACGTGGCCTTCACAAAAACAAATGCAGTATTAAAATATGTTATGGATGCGTTCATCGGAATCTTTTAAACCAATCTAATATTTATTTGTTACATGCAATCTTGAAGATTAATCGATTATGTTATTGAACGTATAATAACGTACCTAGGTTTATCCTTGAGGTAGGCCCTTTGTTGCAATTTAAAATAATTTTTTATCTACATTTCATGCCGTTTATTATATATTAAATGTAAAAAAAAATCTAATTATTTGCTTTTTACCACTGCATTCTGCCAATAAACTTTTAAAAGAACCTTTTTTAGTTTTATTTTTATGAGTTGCAGACATTTAAACTCCAATTTTAAATAAAACAAGAACCAATCAAGTTCGATAAACAAGAATGAACGTTAAAGTTCAATTTAAAAAATCATTAAATATAATTTTATTCAATAAACAAACAAAGTTTAAAAATTGATTAAAAAATATTTGGACGCAATCGTAAACCGTCTACTCACATTATGCCAAACATTTAAAACTTTTAATTAAAAACTAAACCTGTAATACTTCAAATATATTGAAAAGTGGAAGTGGCGCAAACAAAAACTCTCACCTATCACTGTATATTCTCGATATTTCTTCACAAAGAGCACTTAGCAACTACACACAAACAATTACGATAATATCCAGATTCACTGAACGCACGACCGATAGTTGTCTTTGATAAAATTTAAAAAAAAAAACAACTGCCTTAGCGCGTCGACGATACTCAAATGACAGCTGTTTTCCCGCGCATTTACTTTTATTCGGACAGCTTCTCGAAAGTGTTTTATCTTGTTTCGCATAGGAAATCCACGAGTTTCAAATTTTAACACGGATTCTAAAAGTAGGTGGGGTAAAAGTTTGATTTTGTATTTAAGTTTTACAATAGCTACCTCAGTCCACTGTGGATCACCATTGTTGAAACACTTGTGAAAAACAAACAAAACCAGGGCCCGTTTTAGCAAATCCTGCGCCCTGGGGTAGATATTTGCGACGCCCCTTTTTTTAATGTCCGGGGAAATCTTCCAAAGATAAGATATCTTAGACTCAGGCGCCCTTTAATACACAAAACTAGCGCCTGCGACGCCCCCTTATGCCCGGCGCCCTGGGCCCCACCTAGCCCTATCCTAACGCTACTACTGAATACAAAACACATTTTGCGATAAGTATTTTAGTATTGAATTTCACCGTTAAATAGTAATATGAGGAGCAGCAGGTCAATCGGAAACATTGGGTCATTTAAAAAAAAGTTAGATGTCTAATGAGATTTCTTAAAATGTGTTACTCTTTTTCTTGCTAATAGGACTGTTTCAAAACAAGAGATATAAAGTCTAGTAATGTAGAAATATGGGACTGGACCTATTTTTGTAAGCATGTGGTCACCGTATAGTGCGAGCTTGTTCAAGCTAGTTGCATACTGTAGCAAGAACTGGAATGTCCTTACGTCGCACGTTGTTTTGTTCGATTACGATCGCTTCCTACAATCTTACTAATATTATAAATAGTTTAGATGAACGGATGGTTGAATAGATGTTTGGTGGAACATAGTCTGGAAAAATACATAGACTATACTATACTACTAAGGTTTTTTTTTAATTCCGCGCGAACGGGGTCGCGGGCGTCACCTAGTATCAATATAAATTCATGCGTAAACAATTTAATCTTTTGTTATTATTCATAAAATGGCTTTCAGATCGCAATAGATAAAAGGGGCAAACAAACCCAAAGATTTAAATAATCTCTAGAATAATCTGTTCCAAATAATTGCTTTCTAATCTTTAAAAACAAAACACTGTCAATGATTCCAATTTCAAAAAACACCAAACCATAAAAAAACAACAATTTTCTTAACATTTAACAAAAGTTTATTAGGAGCACACAAAAATTAAACTTTTAAAAGAGAAACAAAAAGCAATTTATAAAAATTATCTTTAAAAAATACAAAAAGCTTTGTAAAATTATCTCCAAAGATAAGAATCATTTGCAAAACACATTTGAGCTAAGAACGATTACCAATCACTACCAAAGTAGTCCAAGAGTCGTCACTCACCTCCGCTACTGACTTTCCTGGCAAGTCAGACCCCTGCAGAACTGTAATGGCGGGAAATACTGTAGTTCCCAAGTTGAAAAAATATATAAAAGCTCATCGAAACCTGAACAACTTTGAAAGAGGGGTTTATTTACGAGTGTATATTACCAACTTATTTATCATATGGGATTGAATAAAGGGACCTAAGCCATTTGTCCACTAACACTGTCACCGGCATCGTCATCAGCATGCAGGTCAGCGGCAACATAATCTCCGCATCGTTCAATCAGTAGCACCGATCTACGCACAATATCGGCTGCCGGGATGACTGCGCTCGGATGACGGGTGTGTGACAAGCCGTTATAGTAAATGTATTGTCGTTACCTTGATACCGTCATTTCGTTATCGTTGACGTGACGGTGACAATGTTTGTGGACAAACGGCCGTATTCCTTCACTTATTATACTATATATTAAATTTATAATAAAGATGGTATTCCCCGGACGACACGACCTTTATTTTAGACGTCAATGTATTTTTTTTTTGTTATTATTGATATGTTAAAAAATTTCCACCACTAGATAAGAGAAGTATATGAAAGATAAGCGGAACTTATGCTTGTTTTTCCCAGATTAATTGCAAACTTTAGAAAACGGATCATAGGGTTACATCATATTAATAACAAATATGTTTAGGGTTGTCACCTCTTCGGGTTTGCATCGAATTATTTTAGATTTCTATGATACATATACATAACAAATAGGGTACTAATTAGGTCTTTATTTAATTTAGTATGGGCGGAGTAGCGGAGAAAGGCTAGTTAGTTTATTAATCACTAGACATCATGACTCTATGGTTGACAAAACACTGGCAGTCGATATTTGTTTTAAAGTTAACAGCCCTATACTCGATATTACAACGAAGATCTGATAAGGATTAAACTCGACACGCCCGCAATCTTCACGAAAACAATAATCGCGCCATATTAGTGGCACTTAATGATAAATGATAATATTAGGTAAACGCCTCCCGGTGTTGCTAAGCGTAGTGCGCAATTTAAACAAAAGACACGTGAACTTTCAATGCCAATATTTAATCTATAGTAAGTATAGTGCGACAAACTAATCTGACCCGGTGAGAGGCGTTGTTATTGCTGTACAGAATATTCTTACTAATATTATAAATGCGAATGTTTAGATGGATGTTTGTTTGAAGTTCTCTCGAGAACGGCTGTATGGATCTCGCTGAAATTTGGCATAGATGTAGAACATAGTCTGGAAGAACACATAGGCTACTGAATTTTTTTAATTCGCGCGGAAGGGGTCGCGGGCGACAGCTAATCAAGGTCATAGAAACACCTCAATTATATGAACATTGATTTTGTGCATATGGCAAAGTTTACATACGATTGACCTAGAAGCCATAGACTAATTTGAATGGCTGAAGTAATGAAGATGATTCCTGCCATCTTCCCTACCCCCTTATCTCTATACACCGTCATATCTGACTTTACTCTATCCATCGATGATTTCTTCAATCCTCTACTTTTGTATCTACGTTTTACTTTTTTTTTATGTTCTACGTATGTGCCAAATTTCTTCCATGCGGCCTGGAGATACCTTCTAACAAACATCCATTCCTACATTTAAACTTTCGCATTTACAATATTAATAAGAAATAAGATTACTCTAATGAAATGTTTTCAATAGTTTTCTGTCACATGTCATGACAGATCTAGTTTAAAGCAGATATAAACATTGAATTTCGAAACATGACCATATATATTACATTGACAAAGTTTATCAATACACTGGATAGAACTGAATATGTGTCAATCCTTCTGGTTATGATGCGCTTTTAGTTAGTTATGTAGACCATAGGTTAAGGGTAAGAGCCATGGACTTAATTTATAGATAATAAAAAAATGTTAAAGTTCCTTTTTACTCTTTGACAATTTGAAAAACTGTTAAACATTTTTTAATCTATTTTACATTTATTTTTAAATTAAAAATTCCAAATAAGATATGACCTAAAGGTCTATGTTACCAGGTCGTTAAACTAAAAAAAAAATTAAAAATTAATCCAGTTGACAGCGGTAATAGCAAAGTATTGTAGTTATAACTATCATTGCGTAATTTATGTAAACTGATTCAATCACTTGTTTATTTTGCATCATACTATTTTCTCTTGTTATTAATGTAAAGAATATATGGCCGTAAAATAATAAATATTGTGGAGTGAAAAAAAAAGTAAAATGTCAGTTATGAATTTCTTTTAAACATTTGTGCTTTTAAATGTTTGTTTCAACCTTCTTTTGTTAGAAAATACAACATTGAATTTCTAAATTCATCCAGATTCTATGTCAAAAACATTTTAAAAAATATATCCCGTAGTTGAAAGTTTTTTTCCGTTACGCTTTCGACTAAACGTTTAATTTTTGAAATGACGTTTTTTATTTAATTGGTCAATGAACATAAGACATTTTGGAGTTAGAAATAACAATAAGTCGAACGTAAAAGTGGTATACCATTTTCTAAACGAGAACGGTTTCCTGAACGGATTAAAAAGACAGATGTAACCAAGAAAATCTTGTTACTTATAACGTTTTAGAATAAACGAATATCATCGCAAAAGTAGTATACTATTTTTCGCGCCGATTATCCAAAATGGCGTATGTGCACAAAAGAAGCGATGTTTTCGGCCATTTTATTATTACGATGTAAAATACGTGCGTGATAAGTGATTCAATTTGCGTTGTTTTATATAGGTGAGCGTGGTTACAACGCGATTGGAATTTTTTAATGTTTTGCTTAGATAGGGTTGCCAAATCCAGTATTTTGTGAAAAAAGTAACAATCTGATTTGTCAATGGGAATTGGGTAACGACAAAATATACATTATTTTGGATAGTAAAAACCGATGGTAAAAAAAATCGCTTATGAGATCCTTATGAGAGTGTATGTTTCCTAAGTGATTAATTTACAATCAACGCACCATTAGAACTAAAATATCTTGTTTTTAATTTTAATGATCTTGCAGACTGCATAAATTTATGAAGCTGTATAAATTGAAAATAACACAATGGAAAGAAGTATGTTTTTGACAACCCTAATATTTACATCTTTACGTAGAAAATAAATTAATTCCCGAATACTTTAACACGATTAGATAGTCACAGGATAGCAATTCAAGGTTAGTAAGATAGTTTAAGCTAATTGTGATAATTAAATTGTTTTAAAAGTATTAATAACTAATAGTCGCCCGCGACTCCGTCTGCGCGGAATAAAAAAACTTAGTAGCCTATGTGTTCTTCCACAATATGTTCTACTACGTGTATGACAAATTTCAACGAGATCCATTCAGCTGTTCTGGAGATACCTTCAAACAAACATCCATCTATCCATCCATCAAAACATTCGCATTTATAATATTAGTAAGATAACTGATTTTTCTATTTAAAATTATTAATGCCCATAAAATTTAATCCTCTATCTTGTATTTAAAGTAATTAAAAGATGGCGTTTCTTCTTATTTACTAAACTTAAGTTATAATAAAGATAGCATATTACAGTGTTAATGTAGTTTTCTTATGTCAAAAAATATTTTGAAAGTAGTTCAGTAGTTTTTGAGTACTCTTCATGAGATCCCTCTCCGACGAAGATTGGCAATCAGTTATCCATATTTTATTTTAACTTTTGCGAAGCGTAACATT